ACAGATCAAGTTTGCATTTCGTTCCGCTTCATTGATTTTTGACGGAATTACGGCCTTTTCAAGTTTTACGGGTTTTCCGCAATTTTCTTCTAAACGCTTGTAGATATTGAGCTGATTTTCGGTATGTGGCTTTACCTTGATTAGTTATAGATCAAGTTTGCATTTCGTCCCGATTCATTAATTTTTGACGGAATTATGGCATTTTCAATTCTTAACGGGAACCAGATTACACTTGCCGGTAGGGGACTAGTATTGCTAATGCAATACTCTCAGAATGCTTGTTAGATTTATAATTGAGGGATCTTCTACAATGTCCAAATTTAACTAAGTCCGAATTATCTGACACTTCCAGAAGTTACATGAAGCAAACATTGACGCAAGTCTGACATTAGGCATAGTCCAGTATAGTTCGTATACATTTAATTATTTTCAAACGATTAAAATTTTCAAAATGCTTCACCCATATTTTTTATCTTAAAATTATTTTTTTATGTCTGATTAAGCGTATGTGTCTTCTTTAGCATTGATTTAATTGGGGTGCTATCCGCGCTGCCCCGAGTTAACTAATAGAGATATTTACGTGACCCTTTGAGATTGTAAGACTTATGCATTCTCCGAATGCCTTCTAAGTTGATTGATTGTGTGTTATTCAACGTCCCATTCGAGAATTTCCATTCATATAGAGACGTCACCTGCTTTGGGTGAAGTGCCACAAATTTTGACCTATGCATGGCGCTAATGGCTGCAGCAGTGCCGAATCTTTATCGTGCCACGGAACCTCGGTTTTTAAGTTCTCATCCAAAAGACCCATGGCTTTGACTTCTAGTACCGGACACTTGGTGAAGGAACAGTCACTACCTTTATGAAACTTGCCTAAGGTTCGAAGCGGCGCCATGAGGCCTCCCGATAACGAAGCAAGGCCCTACCACTAGGCTTCCGTGATCAGTTTGCCTTCTAGTTTGAGAAACAATTGAAAAAAAAGGGCACCGCAAAGCGGAGCATCCCCTCGAAAAAGAGCATATCAATCCTGATATGAATTATTACTTGCTTAACTTTTGTTACGCGTCCACCCAATAAACACACGATCGTCACTTTATCCTCTCTAACTTTTGCGAGAGGATAATTTTATCATTATTATTATTATTGTTGCAAGGGAAACACAATTTTACTTTTTATATTTTCCTTGGAGAATGCTTTAATAATTCTAAGTTAAAAAATGTTGACACTAGGTTTTGAATATTGAGCATGTTGAGTTTTGATATGTTCCATGTCATGTGGTATGTCGACTGCTGCTACTGTTTGATTTATTAATCAGTGTAAATCTATTTTAGCAGTGATCAAAATGAATCATTTCCGAGTTATAACTGAACGTAAGTGCCATACTTTGCAGTTATTATTGTCTAACTACAACTTTTGCCTTACTGCAGTGAGAAAGACGTTAATGTTGATTTCCGAAATTTCGTTACTTATTACAGACAGAAAATCAATTCTTGATCAGAATGTTTATTAATTTTTCTGTGCAATATGGCATACAATACAAACGAATGAATCGGAACTGAGAACCGATGTAGCTAAATATATAGTGATTGGACAAGCGCTGTTAATTGTGAAGTAAATGTTTAAATGCTTAAAATCGTGGATACGACGACTTCATTGTAAAATTGCAAACAATTTGCAGTCATGCAGCACTGGAATTTCTGTTTTCTTTGTTGTAGATTAATTCAGCAATTTCACTTTAATATCGCTCTGTATACCAGCATGTTCGCGACTTCTGCATGTATCCGAAAAATTGCCTCGTACAAGTATCCGAATTACACAGCTAACGTTTGATTGCACATCATGATCTTTTTACAAACATTAATATTTGCACATTTTTATAGTATTTACAAGAAACTGATTGTTATATTAAGATTAAGATATTTTTATTTTAATTAGCATTTATTTGTATTCATCAATTTAACCGTTTTCGTGTATTTTTAAATTTTATGTCCGTCGGATGGGACTTTAAATGGTGCCTCGTGTCAAGGATTGCAAGCCCGTTGGCACGTAAAAGATCGTTTTTCTGGTTTTCGAGTAGGCTCACTGGGAGCCGCCAGAGAAACCCCAAAACTGGCCAGGAATGATAATTAATACTGCCGAAACATGGCTGAAATAATGCTGACTCGGCTTTGCACAACAATAATCAATCTTTCATTTTACGAAATCTTAATTGACGAATCTAATTTTTTTTATCTGTAGATCTTCAATAGGACAGTATTTTCTTCATATCAAAAGTAAATGGACGCCAGTTTTATCTTGACATGTTTTTTTTTTCAAGTTATATCCTCTGTTAAGGTAAATTTATCAGTATAAAAGATTTTTCATGTAGGTTGCTTTTATGTAGGCACATGTTTGTAGAAAATTCACTGTATTTTCTCAACAAATTAAATGCTAATTTACTCTTAATTAAAAAAAAAATAATCAAACGTAAATACACATAAAAATGTTTGTAATACCTTGTTTCTAGAAACTATAGGAAATGTGCAAGTCTCCGACTAGTCTGAAACTCAGCTAATTTCAGAAAGTGGAGAAGACTATAACAAAAGTCCATGTCCACACTATATAAATGAAAGTTAAGAAAAGTTATTTTCCATGTGGCAGTTATACTCTTCACCTTATTCTGATCATATATTTACAAAGTTTCAATGAACGGAATATTAAATCTGACACACCGCTTAATTATATTTCTTCATATTATCAGCTATGCTTATGTACATGTAATTGTGCCTAGTTCATTCCAAACTCCAAACACTGAAGGAAAACAAAAAGAATAGCGATCTTGAAGTAAGTTTACAAACTACCATCAATAAATGACCAGTGCATCGTATATTTTCAACAGATGTACATGTGCATGTACTAAGAATATTTACATAAAAGCTATTGTTTTATGGTACTTTACTTGTTTTTAAGGAATAGGTGCTTCTCACAAGCAACTACTGGTAATCGAGCATATTAACTTATCCATGCAAATATTACATGATTAAAGGATCATATAAAATACTTTTTGATATAACATATCGATTTGAAGTTCAGTACGGAAGGGTTATTCCATAAAATTTCTGTTCGTATGTCTGAGCCCACTTCGGATAATGAAATACCCTAGTATATAATCTAATATTATTCAGGGGGATTGTATCTATCCATGGCATTTTTTTCGCCTTAAAGCTTCGATTCAGAGATTCATTTCATCGTTTGGATCAGAGATATGTGGAGATGACAGAGGCAATTTTAACAGAATAAAATTTGACATGAAAGTCGCAAATTCATGGGCTCGATCCGTAGAAAAAAAGCGAATTATCTTGTTGGTACGAATTCACATAATTATTTATACTTCTTCGTGGAGCGGATATCAACAGCATAAAATCTTTTTAACAAATGATATTATAACTGGTATCTGCTAGATGACGGGAAAGATGGTCGCGTTACCATTGGAAACTTATCCTAGCGCTTAATTACAGATTCCATACTGGAGCAACATGCATTGATATCGAAGTCTTTGTTACATATAACACTTCCTAAAAGTGCAGATAAATATTCCATTGCCATAAACATACATTATGTGTCGGCTCAGGCCATTTCAACGCTTCTGTTGTGGATTATGGGATTTATGTTGCAATAAACATTAAAAGAAGATAATCATTGATCGAAGAAGCTTTATATACGTGCTGCTTGCATTTCATTTCAGATGCATGCAATGAACATTTCCGCGACTATCCCAGAAACATCATAAGTGAAGTTCTCGGTAAATTAGCAATTTCCTCATCTTTTTACAAATACAATTTTTTTTATTATTATATTTATTTAGAAGTAAACATTAAAGGGGTTAACCGGACTCTCTTGTATCATACAAATATTGACAGGTGCTTAAGATATTCTTTTGAAAAGTGTTTAACATAAATATATGCGTTCTGGGCATGTAGAGTCTTAACCTTGACCGATTACAAAGTGAATCCCAAAACTATAATGATTTTTGTTATCAATCTTAAATTAACCCTATTTTGAGAATGCTCTGCAAGTTGACAGTGCTTCGATTCTTGGGTCGGATAATTTCATCATGATCCTAGACTTAAAGACAATTTAATATCTGTAGGTGTCATTTTTAATCTGCTGCAGCTAATCATAGTTGACTCCACCGAAGGCATATGACAAATACAAACATGTGCGCGGGCATTACACGATGAATTACTTGGTTAGCCATGTATTGTCAGTTTCCTATTAAGTTTTCATGACATACATGTATTATATATAAAGGACCCCTTTCCATTATAATGAGTTTGAGATCCTAACATATTTATACGGATACTCTACATGCTGTATAATCAATTGAATCTTGCAACTTTTCTGTGTGCAAAAGAACGTGTTTACTTAAATAAACAGAAGATCCGAACACCCTTTGCTTTTGGGAAAATTAATTCAATCTGTTAATTCTGGTAAAACTACACCGGACTTTTACGTTCAGGCGAAGTCAACTCGGTTCACGAGGATACTGACTGCTCTGAACATTGCTCTGTTAAAAATTTGAGTAGGAGTAACGCATATGAGCATTACAATTCCCAGTCACTTCCTTGAATTACAGAAAATATTTAAAATTGTTTATTCATGTAATGAAAATGAAGTATGTAAATTTACAGGAGTGTCACCTTTTCATAAACAAATTACATGTGTAATGATTTTTTGAGGGATGCAATTTCATTAAACAGGTATTAATCAAGAATCTGAAGATATATTAGAAAAATTGTCCCCTCCCAGCCATGGAGTACGATATGAGGTCTTTAGGTTGAAAGATGCTTAAGTTATTCATAAAAATAATTACCATGGATGAATTGAACAAAGCGGAAAATTGTTATTAATGTACGGCTCCAATAGTTTTATGAGTGACCTCACTGAATAAAGGAAAACAATGTCTAGTGCAAAATTAGACAAATGGTTGATAACATTAATGTCAAATGTCTTTCTTTCAGACAACTTCTGTGACGGTGTCTGTTCTTACACTCTCGGCAATATCAGTAGAGCGATACTTCGCCATCTGCAAACCGTGGACAGGAAGACTATCCAAAAGGTTCATTCTGAGAACCATCATTTGTATCTGGTTGATTGGATTTAGTGTTTCCATACCGGACCTTATCTACTACTCGGTTACCAACACATTCCATGAAAGCGTGACCTTCTATCTCCGGTACTGCAGTCGCCGGTGGTCAGTTAGAGACAATATGATTTTTAACTTGGTTATTTTGATAGTGCTGTATTCCATCCCTATTTGCCTTATGGCCTACACCTACGCTGTTATTTCAAAACAACTTTGGCGGAAAGATCTACCAGGAATTGTTGAAGCAGGTCTGGTTTGCTTTGATAAAGACTATATCATAATAAAAATAGCAGCTCTACTTACCTTCGATTTAAAGGTTAAAACTCGTAATAATATTATAGTTATAGACTATGCTTACATGTGATTTAGTATATTTAAAAATGAATGCAATATCATATTTTTAATTGATTTATCTGCACAAATTCCTAAAGAATGAATCCTCATAACACTGCTTTCTCGCCCCTTTTTAAATGGATAATTTTACCTTTTCAAATTAGAACATTGTTATATTATAGCTAAAGTCTTCAAGCATAGTCTGTATAGATACTCATAAAAGATTTTTTGGGGAAAGAGACTTTCAATATATACATTATATCGATTAAATAAAATCGCATACTTCACTGTAAAATCCCGGTTTCGCCATTACAGTTATGCAGGTCGTTGTATTATTTAAATAAGAAGGCGGAGCGTCTATCAAGCGTGCGATTAGCATGAATGAATACATTAGCGTGTGTTCGAGGTGTACTAAGTTTTATGATTAACTGACACCTAAAAAGCCTTTTTTTTCATGCTAGAGACAGACAAAATATAAGCATACATTTTTTTAATTTGGCTGGCTTAACTTTGATTTCTTTTCTGCTTAACTTACGAGTCGTATTTGAAATGATTTACTAGAAATTCATTAAATTATTTATACATTGAATACACAATGGACTTTGGAAACAGAACGAAGGATACACTATTTTTCAAACTTCAAAGAAACCTTTTTATGAAAAAGAGATAATTAATCCATTTAAGCTTATTACATAATTTGAAATTTTTTCATACATGTGTAGATTTTTGCAAAAATCCGAGTGTTATAACAAATACACGTAGGCGGTTGAGTTATGATATAAAACTACACTCGGTGTATAAAAAATAGATAGTTAAGAAAGTGAAAATTTAAACGTCAATTAAACGTCAGTATCATCGCTGGTGGGTAAAAAACAGTGTCAGTGTACTTTGTACAGTCCAAATTGCATTGTTTTCACACACACACACACACAAAAAATCTTGTTTATTCATGCCAGGCCAGTTAACATGATCTTCCTCATTTAGGAATTCATTAATTGCCGAAATCCACTCCTGTACTTATTGATTATCCCTGTAGTAAGATAAATAATAAATCACTCCGAGGTAATTTTAACACCCTTTTTCATTCGACTGATTTTTTTTTTTACTAATATCGTTGATCGGACATGTGAAAGGGTCATACAAATGCATGTTCTTGCTTTTAAACATTATGCTTTTAAAATACCTGCGAACATGGACATTTTTAAATGATCTGCAACAAAAAAAAAAATTGTAAAATTTTGTGCCGATGTAAAAAGTTATAACACTTGCTTCAGAAGAAACCTGAAGCTTCCTTCTATTCAAATTAGGGGTGCTTTTTTGTGCAAATGTATTCAGTGACTTTTCATCCGATACACAGGTTTTTTGAGCGCTCCGTACTTTAATTTCTTTCCATGAAGGTTTCTTCTATTGGAAGTATGCATTTGTGCACTTGTAACTAACAAATTATTTTTCTAAAGGTATGATGAATTGGTGTTTTTCAAATAACGGACTATAAAATTAATGACAGTTTTAACTGAAAAAAAAAATCTTTCATATCTTCCAAGTCAATGAACGCAGCACTGATGTATATTTAGGAACAAGGGCAAATGTATAATATACATGTATACCCACAGTAATTTGAGTTTTAGAATTCTGTATTTATGAGACACAAGCAGTAAGTGCAAGCTACGGGACTTCAATATAAATTGATAGATACCGAAAAAAAAATCAAACAAAATCGACTGAAAATCTTAACACATCTTAATCATAAAAAAATTCTCCCAAAATTTTAATTACCCATTTGAAAAATGATTTGACCATCGATGGCTCGCAGACACTAAACACAATGTCGCATAGGTGTGCTCAAAGCGCTCAAAGTGAATAGATTTGAGTCACGTGTTCAGTGCTTTGTTATTCATGAGGTCAAAGACGGGTTGAAATTTGTAAACAAGGTGCCTTTACTATGGAGACAAGCACCCGTGATTTTGCACCTTTTTTGAAAATAACAAATGAGCGCAAGACTGTTTCAATTTCTTTCATGAATGTAGATGACTAGTATAACTCTTTACATTGACCGTATTTACGGCAACTTGAAACATCCATGCGCTCATATACAAAATGGGCTTGCAAAATGGGGGTGTGGCCTAAAGTCTATGAGAAATCGATGTAAACAACATACCCCTGCTATATTAATCACATAAATACCTAATTACAGCGCAAGGAGGTAAAAATTGAAATTAATAAACTACAATGTTTGATGGAAAGATTGAGGCCAAAATATGTAGAAAAACTTTGATTTAATTTTTTGTAATTTATCGGGGGGCCAAATTTGGACGTTTAAACGATTCATCCTTTAGACGAAATTAAGTGTAGATGTATTTGTCTTTTTTAAAAAAGAAAAAAATTCCAATTTTTTGTATTTTTTTCAAAATTTCATCGAACACTTTGAACAGATTGTACATGTATCTTATTATGTGATTTAGAGATCTTTCTATCACTTAATTTGTAGGGACTTGACTTGTCTCCTGGAATTTGCAGAGTTATTACAAGTATATAATGAAGCAAATTTAAAAAAAATGACATTGGAACCCCCCCCCCCCCGGAAAACGTGAACCCCACCATCAACACCACGAAAAAGTTTTCATGTTGGGAAATGAATTTTACGGGGGGGGGGGGGGGGGGGGGGTGTTGACTGTGGTGCACTCGGCACACCTCGGCCGATTCGTACCTCAACAAACCTCGGCTGTATCATGTTAGCCTCCATTGAACCGGAGCTACTTTATACGCAATATGGCTGCGCCCTACATTTACGTGTGCTGAATTCGATCCGTTAACAAACATGTGATTATGTAAAGATACTAAGTGCATTTTTCTTGGTAAGTGTTATTCTTAGTGTACCTTACATGCTTTTTAAAAATTTTCATCGTATACCAGATGCATGTTTATTATCGTTTTCAAAGCGTTACGTTTTCCCTATGCGGTAAACAGGCAGCCTTATCACAAATGTCAAGCGGAGACGCATATCAAGTTTCCTCGTACAGCCGAGGTTTGATGAAGGTGACGGAATCAGCCGAGGTTTGCCGAATGGACTGGGGTTGACCCTCCTGCAATATAAAATTACATTTCTAAACAAAGAAATAATACCGCACGAAGAAATTCTTGTTAACAAAATACCAGAAGATGCACTGTACCAAGATGTTTGGAGCAGAAATGTAACTGGGGGGAAAAAGAACAAATAAAATGAATGATCGTTAGTAGCTGTATTTTGCTTCATTAAAATTTTATTTAATGCTATTGGCAGAGCACCGTCCAATGAACAAGATGACGTCATCTGGACCAGAAAGTCAACTCCGATCCCGACAGCGAGCGGCTAAAATGCTGATTGCCATAGTCGTTGTATTTGCAGTGTGTTATCTACCAGTTCATGTTCTAAATTTAACAAGGTATTGCATTTAAGGTATCAAATGCATAATTAGTAGGAAACAAAATCTCTAAAAGGGGTAAAATCAAGGAAAATGTGTGAATATTCCAGAGGTCAAAGTAAAAGAAGAAGCTTTAAATAGAAACTTTAGTTCAAGTTGTTTGTTCCAATAAACCTTTAGAACTCTTTTTGTTTGCATTATTTACGTTGAATTTATACTTAAAAAATATTAGCAAATATTTCTCTATTAGACATTGAATACCTTAACAGACAGTTTGGGGAATAGAGTGAACAGGGATGGTTTGTCGCATACTTGTAGCTATGATATCAAGCCCGTATCTTTGTATATACAATTTCATAAATGATCTTTTTTCTCACCCCATAAAACTACTAGTATTTCTATAGTATTCCGTATCTAAGATGCAACTTATACAGATAAAAGAAAATTAACGAGGCCTCGTTTTAAGGGTATATTATGATTTTTAAAAGAACCCGTTAACTGAATATCCTTTTTATAATTTGTCTGCAAAAAAGATATCGGTCATCGGAATTTAAAATAGACACAAAGATTTGTAATCCTTCATTTTCCAGATGGTATCTATTAATGCTAATAAATCCTCGTCAAACTTACAGATACACAGCAGCGTTTAAAGAAATCCCAGCCAACTGGATATCAATCATTGTACTAACTTCACATATCCTTTGCTATGCTAATAGTGTGGTGAACCCTTTCATCTACAACTTCATGAGCGGTACGTATACAAAAATCACCCTTCCTTTCTATGCCACTTACATCTTATGGTAGCTAAAGTGCAAAGTCTGTCTCATGTTCTTTTTTTTTTATCAACAATTGATGCAATCATCTATGAAAATTTAAAAGCGGCATATAATTGGTTTTCTGGCAATAATTCATGAATTTGGTGTCCTGTATTATAACCCATGTAATTTAAGTGGATCTATTAGTGGATCTCTTCCAAAATCACCAACCATTTCTCTAGAAAACTTCACTGTATGAGATTGGACTTGACGACTGATTGCTGATTGAGAAAGCAATATTTTTGTTGACATTATGCTTGGCAAAGGTTTTAAGCATACCTTTTTGAAACTGAATATTTCCCTCAGTTAAAGGAGGACATATTTTTAGAACCACATGCTGAAATTTCCAAAACTTTTTTGTGTTAAATTAAAATAGAAACATACTTGGCATTCTTCAATTCAGCTTCTGTAAAATTAAATACATAAGGTGTTGTAAACCACAGCTCAATTTTAGAGCTAATTTATAACTACTTAGTGGTAAAATGATAGATAGATAGATAGATAGAGTCAAAAAGTTTAGAAATTTTAAGTACGTTTTATTTAATACTGAAGAGTATAATTCTGAAACGGAAATAAATCTAGGAATCTTTTTGAAAATTAATACTGAAAAACTACAAATGTATTTTACATTGTATTGAGAATAATTTGGACTATATTCACATCTGTGTTTAAAAAATGGCAAAATTTAAGTATATTGTCCAGGGCCCTCATGTGCACTTCTGAGCGATTCTTGATAGTTTCATACGAAAACCAAACTACTTCGGTGTACATGTAAAATGATCAGAAATATGGGTTGGAAGCAGAAATCTGTCGCATATTGTCGCTAAAGGTCAATGAAATGTCACCGTCAGTTTCTTTGGTCCCCATCGCTCATGGACGATCCTAAACTGATATAATATGTGCTTTCTTTTCTGTCTGTTAACCCACTTTGATTCAAATGCAACATATTTTAAAATTTATCCGTACTGAAAAGCAAGTTTATCTAAGAAAATCGTTTTTGCAAATTGTAATCACTACAAGTGCTAAATCGGTCAACTTTTAAAAAGTGCGGGTAAATTTGAGCAAAGATTTATTCTCATGCTAGATATTCAATTAATTGGAATTTACAGGATATTCTATAATTTTTACTATGAAAAAATTTTAGAGTTCGATCCTGAACTTTTTTGCTTAAGTATATTTAAATTACAGTGTGCTAAAAAAGAGTTGAGAATCATTTTCTATAAAGTTTACAGAAAGAACATATGCAGTAACTATCTTTTTTTTACACTCCTCAATCTAATAACTTACTGAATCAAATTTGAAATCAAAATATGATTTTTCAGTTACCAGCAGAAAAGAGAAAAAGATTAAATTGGAGAAGGATACGTCACAGATTTTTTGTATCAGATGACACACTGTAGTATTTATAAAATAAATATTAAAAATTCTAATAAAGTCACTAGATTATACTATAGATCATAATCACAGGTGAGTTATAATTTGTTCAGCTTATATGTAATTATTTTTGAAAGATGTGCAACCTTATTATATTTTAACCAGACATATATTTCTTCTGAAATAGAAGAAGGTAACGTAAATGCTCCTACGGCACGCCCTTTTAATTTTATACAGATAAATACCCCCTTGTCATCCCGCCCCTAGTTAATATCTTCTCAAATGTTTTCATAATTTAAATGAACTGCAGAGCTGTTTGTTTTTTAATAAATAATACAGTGTTTAACTTTTTGCAGTGGGAAAAATGTACTAGTAGGATATTAAATTTTGTTGTGTTTTATGTACCTTTTGAGAAGATGTTTGAAAAATATAAAAACAGTTAATGTCAATATTATTTCATTCATACACTTTGTACTTTACTGGGAGGGCAATATATAAAATACATGTATATCATGTACGAGATTTTTGAAATCTGTACATCTAAGAGTGACTTTTTTGGCATATTTATCATCATTTTAAAAATCTTTTTTGCAGCAAAATTTCGCAAGGAATTTCAGTCAGTGTTACGTTTGTCCAAGTGCAACTGCACAAATAAAAGAATTCGAGTTCCCTCTGTCATGACGTCATCAAAAAATAAAAATTCCCTTCCAAGAACGGAGAGATATGAAATGAACACTGTTTCAAAGCAAAGCTGGAGTAAAGCCTCAACAATAAAGAAAGACCAGGATCCTCAAGACAAATACGGGTGAAATTTAATACATAATCCAGCTTCTCTTGAAGAATAATTGGTTCAGAATTCCAGTGACAATAATGATTGATGATTTAACCCGATTATTCGGTCAGCTTGTCGATGGGACAATTTATGAATGGATTAAATTCGTGACCTTAAAGGAGGTACAAAATACAGGGCTGTTATTAAATGGACTGGATAACTAGTATTTTGAAAAATTTGTTGTTTTGATCAAATTAAAGACTGTGAAGATTATTGTGGAATATCTTTTCAAAGAACAATGCTATGAGGATGTGCGTATTATCATATAAACATTGAGATCAAGTTACATGTAAAATATTTTTAATGATAATTGTGTTAAGAGTTGCATTTCATTTATTATAAGCCGACTAGCTAAGCGACAGACAACCGTTGTTTTGTAATTTTCTTCGGAAAGATGGGGGTGGGGTGGGGGGTCCTCAAGTTTAACATTATACCCACATGTACATGTAATTAAGTGAAATACAGGTCCACAAAAAATAGCCATTATATTTTGTAAGTAACCACAAACACGTTCATGGTATACTAAATTATGTTGTTTCAAACATGTCTTATCTCATTAAATTCCTCGTAGTCTTAATTTTAGCGATTGCTCGCTAAAACCTGTATGAATTTGGAATCATCAGTATTACCTGTATAATGGCGCAGACGCCACTGTGAACTTACATGGTCGTAGGAGCCGGAGGGGACGAACCCCATCCACAAAAATAATATTAATAATATACTATAGAAAAATAGTTTTTTCAAGCTTGTGCTCGTCAATAATAACGTCTGATATCGATGATGATTTTTATTTTGCTTATTTAGGATTAGGAGGGGGCCCCCTAAAAAAAGAAATGAAAATGTTTGGTTGTGTTCCCCAACTGAAATTGCTTCCTGTGGACCTGGTTTCTTGAAAGGGGGGGGGGGGCTCTAGGCACCTTGCATAAAAAGTCAACGTTATTCTTCAACAGGATTTCATAACCAGGACTGATTATCAATTACATTTTATTGCCAATATTATTATTTAATGGAGCTCTGTAGATTATGTTACTAGAAGCGAATACAAAATGAATATTTTACGGTGATGGGGACGTCCAGGGAAAATTTTCAATAATTCAGTTTAAAAATGTTCGAACAAGAGAAAAAAAGGAAAGGGGTTCGTATTAAACGTCTTTATGTGTCTGGAATAGTTTCAAACAAGGGGTGAAGTGTACTTCATGTAATTGTAAAACAGGATTAACTTAGGCTTTTAGGTTAATTCAGGAAACTTACAGTAATTTTGAATATCTTAATAGGTAAACTTTAGATCTTTCTTCTTGCGCTATCTGTATGTACCTTACATTCCCAGAATGCACGTACTTTAAAGATTTTAATTTTTGCAATACTCACAGATCTCTGGACTCCCATTGTCATTATTTGATCACTGCCTCTTCTTGATTCTTGCAATTTTTTCCGTCTTTGCGTTAGCCAAGTGATTTATTAGACCTCTTAGCAGATGTCACCTACGTCATTCAATAACAAGGATTGCAATACCTTGTTAAACAGTTTGTGATTTCAAAGATCATCGTACCTTTACAGCTTACACTAATTTTGTTTTACAGTTATCTTAAGGAAACCATTTCTCGTTAGACTTCTGCAGTAAACCGTGTTTTAATCAATAAAGAGAGCAACTATCAAAGGACATCAGTAAGACTGAAAAAAATATTTAAAAATTCAAAATATATGTACGCATACATGTATTTCCTAAATTAAGTTGTTTTGAGATTAAAATGGCCTTCACCTGCATTGAATTCTCATACAGTATTTTTCGAGTTTGCAAATAATGTGTTTTGGTCATTATCAATTGTCGTTGAGCAACAGAAAAATCCCGAATTTTTTTTTAAAAGGAACATTTTTTGAATGACAAAAAATATTTAAGGACTTAAAATGATCATATTTCGTATTTCATATCTCAAAATTTTCAAAAGTAGTCATGTAGACTATTGTTCTCCTCTTTCACTGAAATATTAGTTTTGGTCTGTTCGTCCGTCTGTCTCTCTGTCTGTGTGTTGCACTTTCGTTTCTGCCTTTAATATTTAACAGATACTTTATATTGCATCTCCTTATGCATGAAGTAGACCTCTATTCATTTTGAAGTCAAAGGTCAAGGTCATAATTCATACATTACAAATAACTGACGATAACTTTAGTTTTCTTTGAGCTTTTCTCAATGAAATTTAATATCACAACTCTCTATGGGCTTAAGGTATTCAATGTAAAATGAAGGGATTTTGAACAATTTTGAATCATTTTAAACTAGTTAAAAATGCATTGCTAGATAACGATGAAAGTGAAATGAACCAAATTCACATAACTGATAACAGATAAGAAGCTGATTATTTTGCACCTTGAAAAGTTTGAAGAGTTACCTGCCCTTGACGAAAAGAAGAAAATTTTAATTTTGTCAAAATATATGTGGTAATTGATTCATTTTATTTCATATTTTAATAAAGAGAGAGTTTATGCATATTTTTACCAAGAGATTTGTATAAAATTCAAATTACTTTTAACAATATCTTAATAAAACATGCGCTGTCCATAGACTTCAATGTAAAATTCAAGGTGCAATTTGCATAATTGGACTAATTAAAATTTTGTAAATTCATTTGGTGAGCATTATTTTTTATTTTATAACATCTTCAAAATGTTGACATGATTATTCATTTCGGACCATTAATTATTAGGTACAAAATATGGTCGTTATACATTGAATACCTTATAAAAAGAAACGTAGTGATTTTTTGAGTCAAAGTTCGAAGTTAGAAATTCTTATATTGCAAAAAACAGTTTCCAGATGATAACTTTAGTTCTCTTTAAGCTTTTTCAAAGAAGTTATATATCCTGTACTTTAGTGATTTAAAGAAGACTCCTTTTGATTTTTAGGTCAATAGGTCAGGGTTCATACAATGCAAAAAAAAAGTGTCCAGATGACAACCTTTGGTAAAGAAAACCCCTTTTGACGTCATATATCAAAAAGTCAAGGCCAAGGTCAAAAATACATATTTTGCATAAAACGGTTTCTTGGTGATAACTCTAGTTTTTTTTTTTTTTTGTTTTTTTAAGTTTTACTATGAAATTTATATGGTTAAATAAAGGACTCAGTGATTTTGAGATCAAAAAGGTCAAAGATCAAAATCAGATTTTTTTTCCCTTAAAGGTGCTTAGACACAGATTTGAAGTCAATATTTACTCAAGTTTTCTGTATAATTTCATGACTTATTTGTAACTATAGCATTTATTTCATACGAAAACTTGATAAAAATCTTACTTTATCTGGAAGTTATTGAAACTTCGAATTTCTGAACGCGTTTGATAGACACATCCTTGCACTTTCACAAATTTTAACTTTATCCTTATTACTTTAGAAAAGTAGCAATTTTGTTGTTTATTAATGAAAAATATTAAAACTATAATGCAGAAATTTCAGAGTAGAAATGTAGAAAGCAAAATCCTCTCACCAGTGTTGTCAGTCCGTGCTCAGTGGTGTGTGGAGAGTTTAACAATTGAACACACCCGGTGAAACGTAAATGTTAACAACAACAGAGGTCGTGCCCTGTTTACGAAAACAGTTTTACGTTTCACGGGCGTATTCAATTTGTTAAACTCTGTACACAACTACACAACACTGAGCACGGGCTGACAATACTTAAGTTAGTGGGTTTTGCTTTCTGGATTATAGATGTAATGTTATTCATTAATACACAACCAAATTGCTACTTTTCTTAAGTGTAAAGTTAAGCATTGTGAAAGTGCAAGGATGTGGCTATCAAACGCCTCCCGAAATTCGTGGTTTCAATAATTTCCAGATTAAATAAGTTTTTAATTTTATTTTCGTGTGAAATGCTATAGCAACATACAAGTATAAGTTGTGATATTATACAGAAAATTTGAGAAAATATAAACTTTAAATCTGTGTCTATGCACCTTTAAGCGTGGGACACAAATTCTCTGAATTAGCTTAATATACACATATGACTATTACCTTTCAGTCAAAGACTAATGAAAAGCTAAAAGTTTAAGATTGACAATTTTTTCCTCTTTCTCCATATTTTTTTTTTCAATTCTTCCACCCTTCTTTTTTTCTTAAGCGGGGAACACAGATTCTCTGAATTAGCTTGATGTACATGTATATCATATGACTGTTATCTTTCGATCAAAGGGTCATGTGATATTCAGGAGCACTGTAATTCTGTGCGATTAGGTCTAAATAACAGAATAGTTATTGAATTCTTATTGGATATTAAAGTAAATTTGTGTTCTATCAATAGTTATATGTTACGGATAAAAATTGTCATTCATTGGTCATAACAGTCATGTCTTATCAAATATTTTAATAGCCTTAGGGTACAGTTCACTATCATAAAGCATATATACCAGAATATCTTAATCTACATCTTAAATTCAACTCCAGGGGTTCGGAGTTTTGCCATCCCTTTCAGCATTTTATTGATGCTGAACTTGAATTACCGAAGCGGAGTACCAGTACTTCATAGACATCGTCGATTTTCATTCCTTTATATAGGATGACGGTAACTATTGATATTCAATTTACAATATTTCCGGAATCATAATGCAATATGATAACATTCAATTTTGCTTAAAAGTAATAAAGGGATACGATCATTTAATTGGTGTGATTTTGGTTAGCAAATCGTCGTGATTTCCCGACAGACCCTAGAAATGATTGTTTGGTTACTCCCTGGGGTTGGTAATCCTTATTAAACAAATAACAGGGAAGTAATTTCGCTGTTGCACTGGGCCATTTCCTTATTCATAATCATTTTAGAGGGTCAAAAATCTATAGGCTCGCATTATCGTATACGAAATACAAGACATTGACCAGGCATCTTAGAATAAAGTAATAATGATGAGAAAAGGTTCCATAAACTAGAAACATGATGGTAACCATTTCAAACAGTCCCACTTTTAGTCAAAGACATTAGGATGAAAAAGACATCATCTGAAGAGGACCATTATATATAGTACTCAGAAAAGATTTTGTGTTTGTCTCCGTGTTAACGATAAAATAACTGCAACATGCATTTTTCATTTATTTAAAGCATGTTAAAGGAAAAAGAAAACTTAAAAAAAAAATGTTGACATAAGACCGCTTTTCATTAGGTTACTGTCTACCAGATTTACGTGTAACATATTAATCACTTCGCAAATATATAAATCATACCAGAAACGATATACATTGTACATTATAAGAATTTTTCAGATTAACTCAAGGATTATCAATACGAGTTGATTAAGTTCTTTTTTCTCTCGTGATGATTCCTGAACATTGACATAGCACAGATTGATTACGAAAAATGGGCCGGTCGTATAAACCGAGGTCCCGTGTCGCAGTAGGTGCTGGCACGAAAAAGATCCCTCACT